GGGGCCATCCACTATCCTGTATACAACTTCTGGCAATTTTTAGGCATTTTGCCAAGGCACCCCTGAAGAAACCTGAAGGCACCCTGGTTGAAAAAGGCTGCTTTAGAGTGTGGGATGAAACCCATGCAGGCACAGGTAGAACATCCAAACTCCAAACAGATAGTGCCAAGGTTGGGATTTGAACCAATGACCATAGTGCTGCTAGGAGGAAGTCCTAACCACTTAGCCACTGCCCACCACTCAGTCTCTAATTTAATATATTTTGATGAAGATCATCTCTTGTTGCCTGTGTCTACACTGCAAAGATTCACCTTCTCTGCTTTTCTTGGTGTATATTATCACTGGTACAGAAAGTAATAGGAATCCAAAATTTTACAGTTTTTTTGGGTGTGTGTTTAGGAACACCTAGTTCAAAAGTTCATCTTGCTTAGTTAGTTATTTGGTTTACATATTTATTGACTAAGAACATTTTGGCTTTAGATGTGCCTTAATCATTGTCCCCTATATAGATCTTTGGTGAGACCTCATTTGGAATACCAAACGTCCAGTGTGCAGTTCTGGAGACCACACTTACAAAAAGATGTTGATAAGATTGAACAAGTCTGGAGATGGGTAATAAAAATGGTGAAAGGTCTGGGGGATAAAACATATCAGGACATACTTCGGGAACTTAATATGTACAGTTTGAAGGAAAGAACGGAAAGGGGAGACATGATTGAAACCTTTCAATACATCAAGGGAGTGAATAAGGTTCAGGAGGGCAGTATTTTCAATATGAAACAAAAATCAAGAACACGAGGACATGACCTCAAAACTAACTGGAGGAAAGTTCAAAACTAATCTTAAAAAGTTATATTTTTCTGAAAGGGTAGTTGATGCATGGAATACATTTCCAGCAGAGGTAAAGAGCCAGTCAACAGTAAACAAACAAACAAAAAATACAAAACATGTATAAAAAAAAAACAAAAAAGGGCAGACTGGATGGACCACTCGGTCTTTTCTGTTTCTATTTTCTTGGTGCCCAATTATCTGCTTGTTCTTCATCATGAAGAACAAGCTTAAGAAAAGTGACAACTCTGTTTATTGGTGTCTACTTGGTTGAACTGGGGAATTCGTTTGGGGTATATAATAATGGTGTTCTCAGGAGGTATAAATGTTTGGCATGAGACCTAGTCTTCTAGTAACTTCCGAAAACTTGAATGCAGGTAGCACTATTTTCCTTCCAAAATACTCTGATTTCCACTTCACTGTACATTTGAGGGACTATATTTTGATTTTGCCATTTCAGAGTAAATGTGCTGTGTAATGCAATCAGATATTAGGTGCATTTAAGATATGAAAATATTATATAAGTTACTGCTTGAGCCCAGCCTGACGCTAGTACGGCCATTTTGAGATTAATACAATTCCATTAATGCCACTTTGTACAAATGATATCTAGCCAGCAAATATTCATGATGTTATGTGTCAAGGAAGGTCTTATGGGAAAAATCCTAACTCACTCACTAATTTGCATTTTTTCATTAAGCTGCCGTGATCCGTATTTTCAAAAATCAATACTTTTTAAATCACGCTTTCCCTCATTCACCACCTGTTCGCAGGCATTTGAAATTGCATACATTTGGGTAACATACAGCTGAGCATTACACATTGCATGGATTATAGATAGCCTATTTGATCTTTTCATCTGAAGGTAACAGTTTGACTCTGCAATTTCTCATTGTACGTTAACTGTGCAGATGGAAATACACGGCGGAATCAGTTACTGGGACGCTAAGTAGTGGCGTTGATTGCAGTCTAAGGGATAATGATGGTCCCTTTATCTGAATGAGTGTTTGCCCTTTGTGCTCTTCGTTCTGCTATTTCTTTGAAGGCTGAAATGCACAAGGAATAACATTTTTTTATAAAGTTTGTTTCTTTAAATACTTTTTGCATTTAGTTCTAGTAGCACCAAATTGTTTAGGGAACTTAAAGGAGTTCTATGGTCACAGCATACACTTTCATTTTATAGCTATAACTCACCCCCAAAGGAGTCCACTGTTTAGGTCCCAAGGTTCCTTCCCAGTAGATGCACTGGCAGCCAGGCACACAGTCACAGTCAGTGACTCAGTAAACAGTCTAAGGATATGCTTTTCTGATGCTTTATTGCAAAACTTGAGCTTGGATGGGTACAGGGTACCTGTGTGATAAATTCCACCACCAATAGAAATAGTGCTGGTATAAGACAAATAAAGCAGCTGGCAAAACAATTAAAAGGATTGTGTACAAGTTGGTATAAATATATTGGGCGCTAAATAACAAGCATCAGCACACACAAATTATATTGCAAGAAAACAAAAGAGTATATATAAGGTCCAAGTGAAGAAGAGAAGAATAAAGGCTCCAATATGTAATGTATGGCATAGTGTAGAGATGGATAGATACCCCCACATCCTCTTGGAACCAGAGTGCACTACCACTGTACAAACAATGGACTTTACCAGATCAAGTGGACTCTTATAATACCAAAAGAGTCAAAAAGGCATGAGTTCAAAGCAGATCTAGATACAACTCCATCATTCTTCCATAATTCAGTTTAGGATCTCCTCCACCGTTCACCTTTTAACTTATCTCATATTATTCTGATGGTGTCCATCATATATATCATAAAATAAATGTAGGAAGACATACAGTTGTGTTCAAAATAATAGCAGTGTGTTGAAAAACGTGAATAAAGCTCAAAATCCTTCTAATAGCTTTTATTCCCATACACACAAATGCATTGGGAACACTACTTATTCTATTCCAAATCAAAACATGAAGAAAAATAGATCAAATTTGTGTTGTTCCTCTAAATAAAATTGAAGAAAAGTGAATATTAGACTGTTCAAAATAAATAGCAGTGTTTGTATTCTTCTTTACAAACTCAAACATTCACTATATAAACTGAAAAATGTTTGAAGATTTTGCTTTCCTTTGAATCACTTAATGAATATTTAGTTGTATAAGCACTGTTTCTGAGAACTGCTGTACATCTGTGTTGCATGGAGTCAACTAACTTCTGGCACCTGTGAACATGTATTCCAGCCCAGGATGATTGGACTACATTCCACAGTTCTTCTCTTTTTCTTGGTTTTGCCTCAGAAACTGCATTTTTGATGTCACCCCACAAGTTTTCTATTGGATTAAGATCCGGGGATTGGGCTGGCCACTCCATAATGTCAATCTTGTTGGTCTGGAACCAAGATGTTGCACGTTTACTGGTGTGTTTGGGGTCGTTGTCTTGTTGGAACACCCATTTCAAGGGCTTGCGCAACCATGCTTCACTGTCTTCACAGTGTACTGTGGCTTTAATTCAGTGTTTGGGGGTCGTCTGACAAACTGTCTCCGGCCACTAGACCCAAAAAGAACAACCTTACTTCCATCAGTCCACAAAATGTTGCGCCATTTCTCTTTAGGCCAGTCAATGTGCTCTTTGGCAAATTGTAAGCTCTTCAGCACATGTCTTTTTTTCAACAGTGGGACTTTGCGGGGGCTTCTTGCAGATAGCTTGGCTTCACATAGGCTTCTTCTAATTGTAACAGTACTCACAGGTAACTTTACACCTTCTTTGATCTTTCTGGAGCTGATTGTTGGCTGAGTCCTTGCCATTTTGGCTATTCTTCTATCCATTCGAATGGTAGTTTCTTCGCTTTCTTCCACGTCTTTCAGGTTTTGGTTGCCATATTAAAGCATTTGCAATCATTTTAGCTGAGCAGCCTATCATTTCCTGCACTTCTTTATATGTTTTCCCCCTCTCCAATCAACTTTTTAATCAAGGTACGCTGTTCTTCTGAACAATGTCTGGAATGACCCATTTTGTTCAGAATTTCAGAGAGAAATGCACTGTAACCAGCATGTACAACATTTGCTGCCTTCCTTCCTTAAATAAGGGGCAATAATTGCCACCTGTTTTTCAAAGAATGAATGACCTCACTAATAGAACTCCACACTGCTATTATTTTGAACATGCCCCTTTCAATGAGTGATTCAATTACACAGAATCAGCAGCATGCATGTCATGACTGTTGGGTCTGTTGGATTTCTATTACTCTACTACACCTGCTAGTAAATTATTTGCCATGTAGAAATATCATTTCTACCAAAAACAGTGATTGATCAGGTTAGTGATCTCTGATTGCTATTATTTTGAACACAACTGTACACAGTGTAAAACTGTATAGAATTTTGTATTAAAATCCAGTAGATACAGTCACATATCCAATGATAAAATAGTGCTTTGAATAAATCCACATTGGTCTCAGGAACCAGTCAAAAATCCTACAGCATATCAAACAGTGTGATGACATAATGAGCACAAGCTCTGCTCAATGGGTTTCGTCATACCAGCACACTGTTATATACATCCACTAGAGAGGGAAGAGCATTGAAAAATAATAATCAAGCCTCTTTTTTAAATACAAAATGGACACCTTGTCTAAAACATCAAAACAAGGTCTGGTTGTGCACAGCTTCCATGCCCCTGACAGCTCTATTTATGATGAAGCGCATTGGGTGGAGCTTGTGCTCATTACGTCCAAGAGGGTACAAGAGGGTAAATAGCAGCAAACAGTCACTGGGATCTCTCACACTGGTCTGCACTCACTAATGTCTTTGGATAATTGGATGCCTCTTTCCAATATCTTCCACACACCTCTCTTGTAAATTCTTCAGAATAGATCTGAAACGAAAGAACCTACAGTCAGCTTCTACAAATTTCAACAGAATAAACCCCCCAGCTAGAATAGTTGGGACCTCAATGAGCAGCAGAATTTCTTGAACATATCTTGAACATATCATCACGTTGGAATTCACCCCCATCTTTAATATTGTGCTGGTACTCTCCAGACATAGCTTCAAGCAGTGGAGGTTTCACAGGTAGCATTACACATCTTGGTGATGTCAGCACCAGGAGGGGGTGACAGGGAGCAACGTGGGATGTCAACTACTACAATTACAGCCAGGGGTGAACTGACAACTCATGGGGCCCCCGGGCAATAGGGGATCATGGGGCCGCTGTGTCCTTGCCCAAACTCAAAAAAGCCTATGAAAATGGTACCAGGGGCATCTCATGGGGCCCCCTACTGACCCCGGGCCCTCGGACAGTGCCCGAGTTTCCAAATGGTCAGTCTGCCCCTGATTACAGCTACTCCAGAAGTATCAGGAGTTAAAGACAACAGTGCTTTTACTGACAAAAGGCTTTATTTCTTTAATGTTTAACTATTTTATTGATATGAGCACCCTGAAAATGGTCTCCTGATGCCTGTGTCTGTTTAACCTCTTCCCACCAATGTAACTCATATAAGGCAACAGGGCAGGTGGGCCTTGACGCTCAGTTGCCACACATATGCATCCATAAGCTAAAGGCACACTCACCACATGCTCCAAGCACACTGACCACGCTGTCGCTGACAGCTTCTAGTCACTGTTTGTAGTTTGGGGCCAGCGGGATTGGTTCCCAATCATGTGACTGCCGTGACAGCCTGTGACGGACCACCTGTCACCCCAATTGGGTGATTCCATCATGGAAATAAAAAAGTTGCTGCATCCACTGCAAGTGATCCCACACCTAATCAATAGACAATGAATAATATAGTGTTGCGCTACTCAATAAATATTCCTTACATCATTTATATAATATAAATAATAAATACACCTAAGTTAATACATAATAAATAATTTCAGTGCGTAAATACATACATCACTAAACAAATATATGAAGTCCCAAGTGAATATCAAAATCCATGATAAACATTCATTGTGGCCATGCTCCAATTCACTTCATAAACAAATATAATTGCTTCTGTGATATTTAGAATATCTGTGTGCTTCAGCAATGTGTTCTGGAAATGTCATGCCAGAAGTGACGTCACTAAGCTCTGCCCCAGGTGTTATGCCACAAAACTGTTTTGCCTGACGAAGCCACGTGGGTTAGTGATGTCACTTCCGGCACAGAGCTGCGCAGCGGAAGTCTAGTTAGATGTTAAACGCTCTTTATTTATCTTTTACTGTGAGTGTAAATTTGGCACTTAAAATATTTTTTATTTAACCACTTCAAGTCCAGACACTTTCACCCCCGTCCTGCCCAGGCCAATTTCAGCTTTTGAGCACTATCACACTTTGAATGACAATTGCACGGTCATGCAACACTGTACCCATATGAATTTTGTATCATTTTTTTGAGACAGATAAAAATTTATTTTGGTGGTATTTATTCACCACTGGGATTTTTATTTTTTGCTATATAAATGAAAAAGTCCAAACATTTTTTGAAAAAAGTGTTTTTCTTATAAACTCTCTGCAAATAAATAATCTTTCTTCATAAATCTTGGCCAAAATGCATTCAGTTATCTTTTTAGTACAAAAAAAATAACCCAAATTAGTTTTTATAACCAAAAATTATAATTTTTCAAAAATAGTTTTTGCATATTTATTTTATTTTTTACATTATTAATGTGTTTTCTATTTTTTTACATACTGTCACCCTAGCAGTACAGTGTCACCATACTGACACTGTACTACTTGTGGGGGGTGATGAAAATTTATTTTACACTGATTGCTTTTATACCCATAAAGGCTGTAAAAGCAATAATTTCTCCTTCTTTCTGGCTGCATTCTTGCAACGATTGAGAAATACTGTGAGAGCTGTATTTGGTCACAGCTTGTCACTACCCCCACATGGTACAAGGCTGTTGTGAATAGCCTTGTACCATGTGACCTCTGTGACCATTCACAGATTTCACTAGTAGTAAGCAATGATTTCAGAAAGTGACATCTTGCTTACTACTATTCATGTGATCACTGATTGGCCAATCAGTGATCACATGATCGGGACCTCACACAGAGGTCCCGTACAGCGATTGGTGTTCCGCTGTGTCCTGAGGATATTGTGTCTAATGTAATATTTTTGTAAAAGTGAATAAAGAGAGGCAACCTTTCAACAAAAAACTAAACCTAGATCAGCACCGGTATACTAGAAAGTGAAGAATGATTGACAGTGTTTGATATACACATAAACGCTTTCCTTCTGTATCCTGGCAACTGTTTTCAAATGCCTATTTCAAACTTACTGTATCATTAACTTGAAAACTAAAAGAAAATTATAGCTCAACTGAAAAACCAATACAAAGTTTTTTGTGCCTTTCGATAATAATTGCTAAATCAAATTATGCTAATTCTGCAAATGTTAGCTAAACAACCACACAACAGGCTTCTCTAAATATCATATAATCGCCAGCTTGTGATAGAGAGAGAAACCAGTTACGTATAATGAAACCGCGTTATTTAGAGAAATCTTTGATATTTGGAAAACTGAGTTGGGACAAGAGGTTAATCCAAGTTTAAATTGCTAGAATTAGGCCTATAGTGAAAAACCCACCAGAAATAATAGCATCTTTTTATCTGCTACCAACTGACCTTTAATGCATCCCCAGATCCACCAAATCAAAAAGAAGTTTGATAAACCCCCAAATGCTTTTTGATCATGCCTAAGTGTGAATGACATCAGACATTGGACCTTAGGGACCTGAATTAATTTACAGACAGCACACACAAGTAATGTTGGCAGTATTGATAAGAATTGGAAGGATTTTGTGTTTGTTATTTTTGTCAGCAAATTGTTGGTGGAATGGCATGAATTTGACCATCTAGCAGTCCAAACCAGATTCCCCCTTGCCCTGACAAAGCACCTTGTCCCAGTGGATAAGGGACAAGGGCCTCATCCCCACGCCTCCTGTGCTGTGGTTGTCTGCTGCCAGGGGGCCTTGAAGTACCCTTTAATAATAGGATGTTTCCCATATGGAAGAAAAATATATTTGAAATATATTTTTTAAAATATTCTTCCCAAATATATTGACATATATTTGGAAATGCTACAATTTTGGCTATATTCAATATATTTGAAAAAAAAAAATATATTATATTATGTGTATATATATATATATATAATATATATAATATATATATATATATAATATTGCATGTTAAAATGCATTTTGATTACAAAATTTATGAAAAATATTTTTAAAATACATTTCATCAAATATACTGTATGTCTTTAAAAATACAATTCTACATCTTTGGAATGCATTTACAAATATATGTAAACATATATGTTAAAATGACTTTTTTATATGTTATTTATTTATTTATTTATTTATCGAGTTTATATAGCGCCAAAGGATTTGTCAGCGCTGTACAATTAGGACTTGGGGGGACAATACATGAAACAGAACAGATTTAACATCAAACAGTACACAAGGGGTAAGATGGGCCCTACTACTCTTTTTGAGCTTACACATTAGGAGGGAGGGGGTGGTAGTTTCACAGGGGTAAACGGCTGTGGGGGAATTGGAGTGGTAGGAGGAGGGAAGGGCAGCGGCTTGTTAGGTGAGGGTGGGGTAGGTAGGGCTTCCCTGAAGAGGTGGGTTTTCAGGGAGCGCCTGAAGGTGAGGAGGAAAGGTGACAGTCTGATGGATTGGGTCGGGGTAGTGGAGTTCCAGAGGATGGGGAGGACCTGGAGAAGTCTTGCAGTCGTGCGAGGGAGGAGGGAGACCAGGGAGCAAGATAGAAGGAGGTCCTGATGAAGAGCGAAGGGTAACCGGTATTAGGTGGTACCTGGGGAATCAGGTCGGTGAGGTAGTTAGGGCAGTGTTGTGACATGGGCCTTAATAGGTCAGTGAGCAATTTGGGAATTTAATGGTTTTTGGGCAAATGGGGAGCCAGTGGAGGGAGAGGCAGAGGGGGGTGGCAGAGGTGGAGGGACTGGTGAGGTGGATGAGTCTTGGCAGCTGAGTTCAGGTATGGTCTGGATGCGGGGAGAGTTTGCACTGGGGTAGGCCGTGGTGAGAGGGTAGTTGCAGTTAGTCAAGGCGTGAGATAATCAGGGAGTTGTTACGAGTAGTTTAGTGGTGTTTGGGTTAAGGAAGGAGTGTATCTTGGCGATGTTCCGGAAGGTGGAGCTGCATGTGTTTGTAAGTGATTTGATTATGAGGTTTAAAGGAAATGGTTTGAGTCCAGAATGACGCCAAAGGACCTTGGCTTGCTGGGCGGGATTGATGGTGGTGTTGTTGGTAGTGATGGAAAGGATGGGGGGGGGGGGCGCGGGCTGGGGGGAAGACGGAGAAGCTGGGGGGGTTTTGGAGAGGTTTTGAGCTTGAGGACAATGGAGCGACATCCAGTCAGAGATGTCGTTTAGGAGGTGAAGTGATGCGGGGTGTAGAAATGTGGGGGGTGAGGTTGAGGGGTGGATAGGTAGATTTGTTTTGAGTCAATCATTCAGCGTAGAGGTGGTAAATTGAAGCGTGGAGTGTTTGGTTTGCCAAGGGAGGAAGGGTGTAGATGGAGAAGAGAAGGTGGTCCAATTGGGACAGACTCCCTGGGGGACCCCAACAGAGAGGGTAAGGGTAAGAGGAGGTTGGCATGTTGTAAAGGAACACGCTGAAGGATCGTTGTGACTGGATAGATAGGACGAGAACCAATTCCCCAAGAGGAGCGGTGTGTCTTGATGCCAAGGGGAGTAGTTTATTAAGGAGGAGGGGGTGGTCGACTGTGTCAAAGGCCGCGGGAGAGGTCTAGGAGGAGGAAGGACAGAGTAGTCGCCTTTGGACTTGGGGTTAGTAGATCGTTGGTGATTTTGAGGAGGGCAGTTTCGGTGGAGTGTAGGGGACGGAAGACGGACTGTAGTGGGTCAAGGAGGTTGCTGTATTTGACAGTTAGGTGGGCGCTGAAGAATATATTTTAAATATAATATATTTTTAAAAATATATATTTTTTAAAATATATTCTTCAGATCTTTTTTAACATATAAAAAGTCATTTTAAATTATATGTGTACATATATTTATAAATGCATTCCAAAACTGTTAGATTTGTATTTTTAAAGGACAATACAGTTATTTGAAATGCATTTCTAAAAATATGTTTCCATGTATTTTGTAATAAAAAATGCATTTCAACATGGCAGTATATGTGTATAAATATATATATTGAAATATATGTAATATGGCCCAAAAGTAGGGGTAAATTTCATATATATGGCAAATATATTTGGGGGAAGAATATTTTAAAATATATTTGAAATATATGGGGTAGATTACCTTCCATGTTGGTAGCCCCCCCAACACACTACTAACACTAACATCTAAATAGTACATAGTACCCCTACTTATTTGCAAAAAATGAAAATGTACCCTATAAATAAAAACAGCTAAATGTTTGAAAAGGTCCTTTATTAAAATAACCAATATGTCCAAAAAATAGCCCCCTATTGTAAATGTAATTGTCATTCACCATACCCTACACTACCAATGACTCTTCCAAAAAACAAAAATACATCAGACAACCTGCCACACAGGAAGAATCCCCAATGGTAACATTAGCCCTAAGGACAGCTAGTGGGCGTTATCATTTGGGGTAGGGCAGTGATGTAAGGCTCCTCTCCCCACCTATTTTTGCTTACAAGGCTGGGTGCAAGCAGATTCCATAACTACCATTGACAGCCGGGATAGTGGTGGGACATCATTGGCCCAATATGGCTGTGTGGTCATATTTATGCAATGATGTAACCTGCTCCATTTCCTGCCCATTTGTTTACATGACCAAGGATTCCCAGCCATGTAAGTGAAAAGGCAGTGACACCGTGGTTGGCAAGGACGCAGTGGCTGCAAAAAGCATCTGCGGCTTCCTTAGCAACCATTGACAGCCAGAAGCTGTCATATTTATCCACGCCAAATGCCCTAAACATTAGGCATTTGGGGATGAATGTCTGAACAGCCAGTGTTTAACCTGAACCATGTGTGGACTGACAACTCATGGGGCCCTGGGCAATAGGGGATCATGGGGCCCCTGTGTCCTTGCCCAACAAACTCAAGCATACCCAAAAAAGCCTATAAAAAGGTAACAAGGGGCATTTCATGGGCCCCCTACTGACCCCGGGCCCTTGGGCAGTGCCCGAGTGCTCGAATGGTCAGTCCGCCCCTGACCCGAACATTAAACTCATCCCTCTCCCTGGATATCTTGGTCCCAGTTCTGGTGCAGGTGAAAGCTACACAGTAATTAGATCTGATAGACAAAAGCAGACATAAGCATTCACAGCCTAATAGAAGTCACTGATGCAGCTGTTGTTATGTGAACAGAGCATTCAGCAACACATGCACTTAATGCTCTGTGACCCAGAACAGTAAGTTATCTTGTCTCTTTTGGTGAATATGGACAAGCTAAGTGAATGAATACATGGAAATAGGGAAGTTGATCAGGCATGACACCACAATCTGCAGCCACAACATGTGAGCCCATCATTTCAATGTAAGGCAAACAAACAACCCAGGAATATAACTACATTAATTAGATAGATTGGTACTGCGCAATGGTAGGGACCTGCTGCTAAACCAACCTATCACACTCTAGCAAGGATGTGTGAAGTGCAGATGAAATATAGGGTTTGTAGCCGCTGTTCCTAAGATGGTTAAATTACTGAAATCCCCTCTCAAGAGGTGTTTGTGAACTTAATATGCAGTTTTTTAAATAGGCTAGGATCCCTAAAAACACACACAAAAAAAACCCCTCTGTACTACAGGACACCTCCCCATCCTAAACTAATCAAAATGAGAGACAGGGGGTAGAAATGAATATGAAGTATAAAAATATGCTCCAGGGAATCTTAACATCCTGCAAAATCTCTCCCTAAAAAAGAGTGGGTCAGGCAAGCAGAGTGAAACACACCAATTACAACAGGTGCCT